ACTGACAGTCAGCGGAAGGAACTATAGACACAGTGGGACTCACTACATATGTCATGTGAATAAAATAGACAGCTACCACTGACAGTCAGCGGAAGGAACTATAGACACAGTGGGCCTCACAACATATGTCATGTGAATAAAATAGACAGATACCACTGACAGTCAGCGGAAGGAACTATAGACACAGTGGGACTCACAACATATGTCATGTGAATAAAATAGACAGATACCACTGACAGTCAGCGGAAGGAACTATAGACACAGTGGAACTCACAACATATGTCATGTGAATAAATAGACAGATACCACTGACTGTCAGCGGAATGAACTACAGACACAGTGGGCCTCACAACATATGTCATGTGAATAAATAGACAGATACCACTGACAGTCAGCGGAATGAACTATAGACACAGTGGACTCACTACATATGTCATGTGAATAAAATAGACAGCTACCACTGACAGTCAGCGGAAGGAACTATAGACACAGTGGGACTCACAACATATGTCATGTGAATAAAATAGACAGCTACCACTGACAGTCAGCGGAAGGAACTATAGACACAGTGGGACTCACAACATATGTCATGTGAATAAAATAGACAGCTACCACTGACAGTCAGGAAAGAAACTATAGACACAGTGGGACTCACTACATATGTCATGTGAATAAAATAGACAGCTACCACTGACAGTCAGCGGAAGGAACTATAGACACAGTGGGACTCACTACATATGTCATGTGAATAAAATAGACAGCTACCACACTGACAGTCAGCGGAAGGAACTATAGACACAGTGGGACTCACTACATATGTCATGTGAATAAAATAGACAGCTACCACTGACAGTCCGCGGAAGGAACTATAGACACAGTGGGACTCACAACATATGTCATGTGAATAAATAGACAGCTACCACTGACAGTCAGCGGAATGAACTATAGACACAGTGGGACTCACAACATATGTCATGTGAATAAATAGACAGCTACCACTGACAGTCCGCGGAAGGAACTATAGACACAGTGGGACTCACTACATATGTCACGTGAATAACATAGACAGCTACTAATGACTGTCCTCTGAAGGAACTATAGACACAGTGGGACTCACTACATATGTAATGTGAATAAAATAGACACCTACCACTGACAGTCAGCGGAAGAAACTATAGACACACTGGCACTCATAACACATGTCGTGTGAATAAACTAGACACATATCACTGACAGACAGTTGGACTCACTACATATGTCACGTTAATAAAATAGACACCTACCACTGACAGTCAGCGGAAGGAAAAATGGACACAGTGGCATTCACTAAATATGTCATGTGAATAAAATAGACAGCTACCACTGACAGTGAGCGGAAGGAACTATAGACACAGTGGGACTCACAACATATGTCACGTGATTAAAATGACACCTACCACTAATAGTCAGTGGGTCTCATAACACATGTCATGTGAAAACAATAGATACCCGAAGCAAACAGTAAGGGGAAGAAACTATAGACACAGTGGTCCTCACAACATATGTCATACGACGAAAATAGACACCTACCGCTGACAGGCAGCGGAAGACACTATAGACACAGTGGGACTCACTAGATGTGTCACGAGAATAAAATAGACAGCTACCACTGACAGTCAGCGGAAAGAACTATAGACACAGTGGAACTCAGTACATGTGTCACGTGAATAAAATAGTCAGCTACTTCTGACAGTGATCGGTAGGAACTATAGACACAGTGGACCTCACTACAAATGTCATGTTAATAAAATAGACAGCTACCACTGACTGTCCGCGGAAGGAACCATAGACACAGTGGGACTCACTACATGTGTCAAGTGAAAAAAATAGACAGCTACCACTAACAGACAGCGGAAAGAACTAAAGACACAGTGGAACTCACTACATATGTCATGTTAATAAAATAGACACCTATAACTTACAGTCAGCGGAAAGAACTATAGACACAGTGAAACTCACTACACATGTCATGTGAATACAATAGACACCCAAAGCAAACAGTAAGGGGAAGAAACTATAGACACAGTGGTCCTCACAACATATGTCATACGAAGAAAATAGACACCTACCGCTGACAGGCAGCGGAAGTCACTATAGACACAGTGGGACTCACTAGATGTGTCACGAGAATAAAATAGACAGCTACCACTGATAGTCAGAGGAAGGAACTATAGACACAGTGGAACTCACTACAAATGTCATGTGAATAAAATAGTCAGCTACAACTGACTGTCCACGGAAGGAACTATAGACACAGTGGGACTCACTACAAATGTCATGTGAATAAAATAGACAGCTACCAGTGACAGTCAGCTGAAGGAACTATAGACACAGTGGGACTCACAACATATCTAAAATACTGTAAATATGTTTTTGTTGTTGGTATTACCACAACAAATGCAGCTGTTTTATCTGAATGCGGTCGTCATCATATATGTTGTGATTCTATAACAAGATGTGTTAAGTACCGGTGTAAATTATTAATTATGGAAGAGACTAGATATCCAAAACAGACCTATATTATGTTAAAAAGAATGGACGATATTCACCGCAAGTCATGGGTAACTGAAGTGAAGAAATTAATTTATATTTATGGTTTCAGCTATGCGTGGGAGTTTCAAAATATTGTTAACACTGATTTATTTTTTAAACAGTCCTCTCAACGAGTTAAAGATTATAACATCCAGTGTATATTTTCTATGTTAAATGAACATTCTAATTTAGAGTTCTATTCATGTGTCAAAAGTACGTTTAATATGGAATCATACTTGTTAACATTATATAACAAAGATTTAAGAAGATTTTTATCACTTTTAAGATTCGGTCAATTAAATATTATGAAGAATACAGGCAGAAGAAATAATATCCCAAGAGAATTAAGATTGTGTCCATTGTGTAAGAACATTTTAGAAGATGAGGTTCATTTTATGTTTACTTGCCCACAATATGATGATTTAAGAACAGGATACATGTTAAATATTGAGTGTAAAGATAGAAACTCTCTCATTCGCCTTCTTCAAAACGAAAATAGCAATAATTTATATATGTATGCAAATTATATTGAGGAAGCGTTTAAGCGACGTAGCGCATTGTTATTGTGAATATATAAAAATATGTTCTAAAGTACTGTCGGAAATAGAACAAAAACTGTTTTTAGGCTGTTACTCTGTATCCCTAAAATTTACACAATTGCAAATAGCATATGTCGAAATAACCCACTTCGGCCTAACTGGGCGTTCAGTGGGATGCGTAATACGATATCCAGAAAAGTATGTTTACTCGTAAAATTGGGCAAAACTAAGAAAAAAACCGAAAAGCTGCCGAAAACAATAGATCAGACTATAGATGGCAATTAGGTCGCTCAGCCAGGTATGACGACGGACCGTCGACTCACCTGGCATGAAATGCACGTGCTTCCTACAGGCACAAGGGGTCATCTCAAAGATATTTTGTGCTTTTACATGTGTGTTGACTATGTCTCATCTATTGATTCACATCTAACGTGTCTTTCTTTCATATAGTTTCATGTAGTTTATGTTGAGATATGTAAAAGAGTTTGATACCCGAAAACCATAGAAACGCATCGTAGTATATAGGTGGCATGACAACCCGGAGATCGACAGGACTGGATATTATTTGTAAATTGTTATGACGTGCCGTGTACCTCCCCAGTATAATTGCCCTAAAGGATTATCTTATCTTAGCTGATATCTCTATCCCAAAGCCCGACCCCATGTTTTGCTTTTGAGACGGCCCCTCCTATCTGTTTCTTTTTATAGTGACAGTGAGACTGCACGTTAGCTACATCCTTAATAGTTTCGGCATAAAAGTTATAATTTTTTACGTCAGTTATCGTTTATAATAATAATAATAATAATAGCATGCTTGTAATGCGCTGTTTTCCATGTACAACATGCTCAAAGCGCAAGACATAGAAGTACATACAAACAGACTATAGCAGAGAATAAAAGATTAGAGAGATACATGGAAACAATGCAATGAATTATAGTTTACACTCATAAGCTAATCTGAAAAAGTGCGTCTTTAGTAAAGATTTAAAATTAGAAAGTTCTGTACAGTCACGTAGATATTGAGGTAGTTGATTCCAGGCTGTAGAGGCTGCATACGAAAAGGACCTTTCACCATACGTAGAAGTCCTAACAGTGGGGATAACGAGGAAACGTTTATCCTGTGAACGGAGAGAGCGACATGGGCGGTGCTGTGTGAGGGACTGGGCCAGATACGAAGGGGCAGATCCAGACAGACAGCGGAAAGTGAGGCACAGAAGCTTGAATTGAATCCTATAGTGAATGGGCAGCCAGTGTAAAGAATGTAGGAGTTTCAGAGCGTCATCAGATTTACGTGACTGGGTCACTATACGTGCAGCAGCGTTTTGCACACGCTGAAGTTTCCTTATCTGTGTCTTAGTGGCACCAGCGAGAAGGGAGTTACAGTAATCAATCCTGCTCATAACTAGAGACAGGTTATAATGAATCTACGTCTAATTTCAAATTGGGCATTTCAAAAGTGTCCTTTGTAATACAATATCATCGCACACTAATTTGCATAAACCCCTGGTCTGTTCCAAATAAGTCTCTTGGGACTTAGAAAAAAACCCCATTGCTCATTTCTGCACTAATTTCCCCTCAGTAAAGTCCCTTTTCTCCGTTTCCTATCTCTCTACCACTGAGACTGTAGTTAGGCCGAACTTAGATTATCAGATATTTCACACTTTCACATATCACCTACATAAATTGTAGTGATAAATGAGAAAATACAGTTTTTTTCTATTTTCCGACAGTACTTTAGTTATTGTGCAAATCATACCTTTTGTATTGTAATATGTATTGTACATGGGCCTGTGCCCTTTCTACTGAATAAAGTTATATATATATAGACAGCTACTACTGACAGTCAGTGGGTCTCATAACACATGTCATGTGAATACAATAGACACCTACCGCTGACAGTCACCGTAGCTAGAAACATCAAAGGAATCTTCAGCCTCTTGTCCATGATGCCACTAGGACACATTAGACCCCCTATCGTCCTAGTTGAACTTGTACGAATGGATTATGTTATCCTGACATGTCCCTCCCAGGACGGCAGAGTATCTCGATCCGAACCACAGTTCAACTTGGCAGTCTGAGTATGTTTAAGAATTCAACTTCCTGATCGACAATATGTAGTGTGAATAGTAGTTAAACTTTTGATATATGTAGAGGATGCCGACATCAGCAGCTATGCAACGTCACAGCACAGCACACTTAACAAGACGATTTCTCTTCCTCATGGATCTGTTTGTGTTGACCCAGACGGATGTTTTGCAAATTGACAAACATGTAAAATGAGACACAACAGGCTTTTGTTTTTATATTTTCATTCTATATTATTTCAAAGTTTTAACTTCCTTGCCTGTTTTACAAAACTTCAATATTTTCAAATGTGAAAGGACCCGTTATCAAATGTTACTTACCGTTTTGTTATTCTGTTTATTTTTGTTTTGTTTCGGGTTGTGTGTTATGTTTTGGCTTTAATCACGAAGAAAGTGTAATCGCACAAGTTAGGCGGCTGACTTTGTGAGCTGGCGAGTAGGTGCCTGACTCTGAGGGTGTATGTTCGAATCCCCGATGGGATTTCAAATTGTGAAATATTTTGAAGAGTCTTCAAACGGCAACAATTTCGTGGAGGAGGTCAGGATCGAAGACTTACACATATATAATTCTTTCATTTTGTGCATACAGTGTTCACGTATTAGTCAGAGACCCTTTAAGATCCGGGTTAAAATGGATCTTCAGTAACCCATGCTTGTCGTAAGAGGCGACTAACGGGATCGGGTGGTCAGGCTCGCTTACGTGGTTGACCACATGTCCCCGTATCCCTATTGCCTAGATCGAGGCTCATGAATGCTATTCATCACTGGATTGTCTGGTCCAGGCACCATATAGCTGGTATATTGCTGAGTGCGGCAGCCAACCAACCAGACATGTTTTAATACTACAACATACCTTTTTCAGTTATTTTGTGCGATCACAGTAACAATTGCCTTGAGATTTGTCTACATTACGTAGCCAAGATATACTTGAATTTGGTGCTAAACCCCAAAACTCCCGAAAATGATTTCAAAGTCCCCTGGTTGATAAGCACCCTGCAGCCACATTTGGTTGATAGACAGATCCTAGGAACTGTGTCGTTCACATAACAAATATACATATACTGAACAGCTAAAGAAACGCAAGTTTCGAAAAAATGAAATCTCATAAAAGTAAGCGTTCATGTTTATGCCTTACAAAAAGCCAGAGTTGCGTTTCTTTTGCTGTTCAGTATATATTGTATGGCTGTAGTAACCTTCTATAAATCACAAGCAACACTACCATTTGCGTAAACGCGTGTCACAGTTGAGCGTGGTTAGGCGTATGCCAGTATCCTGGTTAGCCACATACATCCTGCGTGAAAGGAAAATCTATTATTCCCGAAGAGGACGCTTTCCCCGGGAGTTTTATACTGACACAGCTTTGCGCAACATTATGTGCTGTAAACGTATACAGTACACTTGACAAGGTCCTGTATTTGCGCCATGAAACTATAAACAGCGTTGTTTTCACCCTTGGATGCTGCAATGCCTGGATGCCTCAGCCTCATTAGGTTGTGCAGAGCCACGGCCTTCTCCACTCTACCCTTCACAGTGTTGGACTTGCTCTTGAGGCCCCGTGAAGACCTGGGTTAGAACTGATCTTCAGGAACCCATGCTTGTTGTAAGACAAGACTAACGGGATCGGGTGGTCAGGCTCGCTAACTTGGTTGACAGATGTCATCGTATCCCAGTTGCGTAGATCGATGCTCATGCTGTTGATCACTGGATTGAGTTTTCTCCGATTTGAGTAAAAACTCTAACTTAGGTGAAGACTCAGACTTAAGTTTGTTTCGAGACATCTGAGCCAAGGGTACACTTGCACTGTCCCGTAAAGCATACGGAGTGTGGCATTGGTCTTTATTTACACAATGCTGATACACCCCACCAGGTTCTGCAACATATCATGAACACATGTAAATTATGCACCTTTGGGCACTGAGGAACAAATCATAAGCTTAAAGTATAAAGACGTTCACTTGTCAGGACTCATAAGCCTAGCCCAACCCTAAATTATATCATCACTTTATTGCTAAATCTATTGTAAACTGGAGTGGGCATAAGTCTAACGTGCTGATGATTTTACAAGATACAAGATGATTTTCAATGTACAATTTACTAATTCCTTACAACGGATCTACACAATGCATAAACTCTGGACGGGATCGGGTCGTCAGGCTCGCTGACTTGGTTGACACATGTCATCGGTTCCCAATTGCGCAGATCGATGCTCATGCAGTTGATCACTGGATTGTCTGGTCCAGACTCGATTATTTACAGACAACCGCCATATAGCTGGAATATTGCTAATAGGCAATGATTCATCTAGAATGTTCAAAATTGTAAGGTACTCTTTATGTCTCCATTAAGTGTGCCGCTTCACTTCCATGTGAACACAATCAGATGAACACAAGCACTTGTCATAGACAACAACATATAATCATTATTATAAAACCCAAATGCAGCCTCAGAAACCTTCAGGAACCAAGGCGCTAAATCTGTGCCAGATATACAATCATAGACAATCGCAGACAATTGGTCAATCTTCAATGCCGAGACCAAAGCAACATTTACAGCTTTAACGTTTAGTTTATAGAACAAAACATTCCCAAAAGATATCACTTGTTTCAGATTCAGCATTTCAAAGAGTCTCCTCGGATCACCCTATCATTCTCGACATGTTAGATCTTTACAAAGATCTTCCTACTGGCCAAAATGACATCGTCTTTTACTGGCTGCCATGTAGGTATAACCAGTGAGCATGTGGCATTTGCTTCACTGCAAAACCAGACTGTCTATTTAGATTTCTGGGACTTGACTATGGCTAAAGCAAAGCAGGATTTCCACCTAGCAAAGGACAGTGAAATAAATGGTTCACAACATGATGTCACTTCTGTGCTTTAGGGAGTGTAAGAGTCATGTCATGTGGATTAACCCTTCGTTGTTTGTATTGTAACCGTGAAGGTTATTTGTCCTCAAATGTTCCGATTATTCTTCAGGGTATATATTGGCCCCAAAAATGGACCCCCGAAATAAGATTTATCATCATGTTTCCTCGCACGGGGCAAGGTGTTTTGCTTTAATCCAGCGAAGAAAAGTCAATAAGTGTTGGAAATCATTGAGTTTTGGTGGCCATCTTTGATTTTTCGGAAATCGGGCGCACCCCAAAATATGTTTTATGATGATATTCCCTAGCACTTGGCAAAGTTTCATGCTTTAGTCAACCAAGTATCTATTTTTTCCCCTTTCCACTGCATGTTTGTATAATGGTTGTAAGTATTTAGTCAGTCATGGATTATTCTTAGCATGGAATGATATGTTTCACTATAGCATATCATTCATAGACAGATACTTCAAACTGACAGCAACAAGGAGGAGCGATTTTGTTGGGATTATTTAGCTGGTTTAGTTAGTGGTACAAGTTATTTTACAATTAGTTTGGATTAAAGTATAGTTATTGTGCTTTAAATATGCGAAGGGATAAAGTTTTCATACTGCATCTATAGTTGCTATTAATTTAGTGTGTGATACTCATAAAAATCAGATCTTATTTCATTTTTACTGCAAAAAGATTATAACATGATTTGTTGTGTATTCCCTGTTTAACTGTTGACAAGGTAATATCGAAATGTGCATGGATTGACACTAGACATAGTGACACGCCCTTGACGAGATGTGGTGTCAAAAGTCAGTTCACAAATTCAGCCACGCATGTGTCAACCATTGGCGTTGGCGATTGAAGAAAGTTTGGAGAATGTTGTACCATGTCTGAACCAACGCTGGTCCCAATTCAGCTAACGTCAATGGCCGATTCTGGGCTTGATGTAAACGTCGCTCAATTTTATCCCAAGCGTACGCGATAGGGGACAGGACCGGAGTAACAGCTGGCAGGGGAGGGCAGGAATGCTGTGCTGCCTTATGAAATCTGTCACAACAAGAGCGACAAGTGTGGACCGGCATTATCTTGCTGAAGCGTGAAGTTTCGTCTCTGTCCTTGAATGAACGGCTGAACATGAGGCCCGGGCATCTAACCCCCGTATCGCAGACCTGTTAGAATGCAATTGCCAATGACAAGTTGTGTCCCACCATGAGATGTGATACCTCCCAATACCATAGCGCGCCCGCAACCAAACTGTCGATGCTGAACAGCATACCGTTCACCTCACCGTCTGTACACCATTGCCCTGCCATCTGAGCTGTCTAGATGAAATCTCGACCCGTCAGTGAACAAAACACCATCCCAATCATGTCTCCTGTACCGTTGATCCTGTCGGCACCAGGCAAGACACGCCTGTCGGTGACATAGGAGCAAAGTTGGACGTATTGCAGGCCGTCGAGGCTGGATGTTGCGCTCCCTCAGTCGGTTCCGTACAGACCTGGAACTGATTGGACGGACAGTCGGGAATCGATTCCTTAGATGGGTCAGATGAATGTGGTTATTTTGCTGACGTGACATCACGCGTGGACGGCCGGTCTCTCACGTTCCCATTATGTTGAAAACGCCTCCATACAGATGAGACTGTGTTTCGATGGACACCAAAATGTCTTGTCACACTACCGTACTGGTACATATAGTTCAGGTAGAACATTGTGAATATTCGTTTAGAATAACTGATTTCGCGGATTTTGCGCACTTGACCAAACGTTGTCCACAAGGCTACCAATTCGCCCCAACATGAGCAAAATGGGGAATTGGGGTAGATTTGCTCAGATCTATGTACATCTCCTGAGAACACATGTATAGTTCAGGTAGAACGCTGTGATCATTCGCCTAAACGCGCCATTACAGTTCATAACTGTGGTCACATCGATCGCTTGTCAATGTGTAGTCCAACGCCTCAAGGAAGTAGAGACGATACCAGTTGTTTCTCATTTGTAGCCAACAATCTACCATGAAGAAACGACTTTTTGCCATTCCCT